TATGATGGTGTGACCAACATTATTCTTTTTGTTCAGGACTGCTATGCCCACCAAGGGTATTTTGTTTATCATATGAATTTCACCTCTCTTTTTCTCTTTATAGAAAGAATGGCAGTAAATGTCTGTGGGAGTCAACTCTAAGTCTCTAGATTAATTTTTTAATGTAGTCATTTTCACAGTATTGACTATTTCAATTTGTAGGCATGGAAGATTTCCCCATCTTCTAATGACATACTTAATTTCCTCATTATTTTAAACGTTTCATCATTGATGTCCTTCAATTTTTATTAAGTTTATTCTACCAAATTTCTGAGGCAATTGTGAATAAGGTTTTCTTTTTAAAAATAATTTAATTTTTATTATTTTATGTACATTGGTATTTTGCCTACATATATGTCTATGTAAGGGTGTCAGATCCCCTGGAACAGGAGGTGCAGAGAGTTGAGAGCTCCCATGTGAATGCTGGGAATTGAACCCAGTTCCTGTGTAAGTGCAGCCAGTACTCTTCACTGCTGATCTCTCACTCCTGCCCCTAATGACGTTTTCTTAATTTCTTTCTCAGCAAATGTGTTCTTGATACATAGGGAAGCAAATTAGTTTTGTGTTAATTTTGCATTCTGCCATTTTGATGAAACCATTTTCTCTAGAGTGTTTAGCATGTCAAATATGGAAGTTTCTTAGTGATTTCTTTTACTATTTGGATGACCTGCCACCTTGCTTCCAAATAAGACTTCAAAAGTTTCATATTCTTACTTAAGAATGGCCAGCCTTAGCTTGGCTTCTTTCTAGCCAGCTCTTAGTAACTTTAAATATCCTATATACCTTTTGCCTCTGGGCTTTTGTCTTTCTTTGTTTCTCTATTTCTTTCTTTACTTCTTACTCCATGACTTGAGGTGTAGCTGGGTGGCTGGCCCCTTGAGTCCTCCTCTCCTCCTTTTTTTGCTTCTTGTTCTTTTCTTCCCAGATTTCTTCTCCTTTTTATCCTCTCTGTGTGCCAGCCCTGAGTATCCTTTCTCCTGCCTACTTACTGGCCATTCAGCACTTTGTTAGACCAACCAGGTGTTTTAGACAGGCATAGTAACACAGCTTCAAGGGTTAAACAAATGCAATATAAAATTATGCAACACAACTTTGCATCATTAAAACAAATGTTCC